TCTTGCTCTGACTGAGGGCTGCTGGGAGCGGGGGGCTGGGCTTGTTGTATGTGCCCGCCCCCTGGGCTCTTTACTGCCGGAGCTCTGCTCCCGTGCGCTCCTGCAGGAAACGACCCCTGGGTGAGACAAAGGAGAGAAGTAAAAGAACCAATCACGTTGCACGGCTGGTGCTTTGGATTAACGACCAGGTCATGTTTGACAGCATCGTTATCTGGATGGGTGGCAGGAAGGCTTGATTGCTGGCTATTGTCTGTAGCTGGGCACAGCCTTTTGTTTTATGCTGGCTCACCATGCCGATGGTGTGCTAATCGCCTCCCCAAGCTCTGGGGAGAGTGACCGCCATCACCAATCCATAGACCGGAAGTCCAGTACTGAGTCTCAGTACTTACTAGTGATTTCCGATTTCATACTTTATTTCAGCTCAGAACAAGACGAGAATAACCAGCTCGCAGGCTGGTTTATATGTGCACAACCCCGCACCCTAAACACACCCACACACAAGTGATTGGCTATTTACAGTGGCCGAGAGTTTCATAGGCTCTTGGCCGGGAGCCTAGTCTGCCGATAGGTGCCGGCTAGGATCCGCTTGTCCCATTGTTACTGAGAGTGAAGCTCGGTTGCTTTGCATGACCTCGTGGTGAAATGGCCACACACGCGTTCCAAGATGGATACATTACAAAATCAAATGCCCTTACGGGTCTAAATATACTGTCCCTAGCTCACCATCTGCAGTGGCCTTAGACTACTCACCTTTCCCTCAGAATGAGGGTCACTCCCCTGCAGCAGCGTTCCTTCTGGGAAGAAGAACAGCTTTTCCTGCTGCTCCAGATCTTTTATTCCAAGCCCTCCTCTTTTCCTATTGGTCAGTTTTGGCTCCAAAACCTCTCAGGGGCTTCTGGGAGTTGTAGGCCCAGCCTCACCTACTGCTAGCCAAGCTCCCTGGGCCTAGTAGGCCTCTGGTGGCACAGCCCAGATCATGACAGCAGGCTTGAGGTCCAGCCAGGTGAGGGTCCCTCCTGGGTTGGAACGAGCGGCTCCCCCGCCCACAAAGAAGAAGAAGAAGAAGAAGAGATTGGATTTGTACCCCTCCCTCCATTTGGAGTCTCAGAGCGGCTTACAGACTCCTTTCCCTTCCCCTCCCCACAACAGACACCCTGTGAGGTAGGCGGGGCTGAGAGAGCTCTTGACAGAAACGGCTCTTTTCCAAGGACTGCTCTTGCCAAAACCATGGCTTGCGCAAGGTCATCCAGCCAGGTGCAAGTGGAGGAGGAGTGGGGGAATCGAACCCGGTTCTCCCAGGTTAAGAGTCTGCCCACTTAACCACGACACCAACCTGGCTCGGGCAGCCAGCCTGGAAAAGGCTCTCGTAGGTTGGCCGCCATTCTAGGCCCAGGAGGCAGCCAGCCCGGGCCCGAGGCCTCGTGGTGGTGGTGGGCTGGTGGGGCCCTGCGCAGGCCAGAAGGTGGTGCGGGCAGGTGCCGGCTCCCGCTGTGAGCCCCAAACTCCACCCCACCCACCCTGCGTGCAGCCGGTGCACACAGCCCTCTGAGCCCTTTCCCTCCGCAGCTCCTGGACACCTGGGACGCCTTTGTGTACCAGCAGCGAGAGGTCTCCGACTTCATCGTCTCCCGGCGCCTGAGCATCATTGCCGAGCTCAGCAGCTCCCTCCAGAAGGCGACGCGCGAGCTCCAGGAGATACTGGCCACAGTCACGGTGGGCCGTTTCCGGGACCCCTTCCAAAACCCTCGCGCCATGGAAGAGGAACTACACAAACTCCTCCAGCACTTCCAGGCGACGGTGGTGCGTGTGGCCGAACTCTGCCGTTCCCAGCGGATCCTGACAGGTGGGGGGGGGGGGGGGGGAGGCCAGGGCCGGTCTGGTCGCAGACCTCTCCTCTGCACAAGTTTGCAGTGTCCCTTCCTCCGGGTGGGACGCACCTGTGAGGCCTGGGCCTTCTGCCTCCTCAGGGGAGTGCATGGACGTCTCCTTTGTCACGGGGAACCAGGGGATCATCGAGGTCCACGTGCGCATCTGGCAGCTCCTCCGCATCGTCTCCGAGCAGGTGACGGAATGGAAGTGCCTGGCTTTTTTCAAGGTAGGAGGGCGGAGGGGGCTTTCGGAGCCTCCCCCCCCCAGTACCTGCGGTGCAGCCGCC